CAAGACGTCATCATCATCATCATCATCCTCATCATCATCCTCACCCTCACCCTCATCATGATGTCTTAACTCAGCAGCTTGTGTGTATGTTATTGCTAAGTGGTTGCATTAGTGAAGCATAACCATGTTGAATGGTGCTAAATAAGGGCTGGAGGTTGCTACTGCTGACACACGCTGTAATCATGGGAATCACACAAACATCTAGAAAAACACAAGGTTCAAGCAGGGCACAGGTGATGTAGAGGGAAAGACAGAGCCACGTTTACATGTGATAGATAATTAATAATTAATTATGCGATCAATACCAGTGCCAGTTATGTTTCTACTTTTTCGGGCGGAATAGGAAAAGAAAGGAGACGATGAAGGAAAGGAGGAGGTAATTAAGAGGAGGCTGGAAAAGGAAAATGAAAATGAAACTGGTGTCTTCAAATATCTTTTTTTTGCTAAACCAACAGTCCAAAACTCAAATACTTTCAGTTTATTATAATATAATATTGATATAAGCATCAAATCTTCACATTGGGGAAGCTACAAACATCAAATTTGGGAGATTTTTGGTTGATTATCGATTCATTTTCTGTCGATCAACAGAAGTATTTATTAATACTTGCAGCTCTAAAAACGAGACAACTAAGGAACAGACCAGAGGGGGAAATGAAATGGCAATGAAGAAAAGGTAGTGAGTATGTGTTAGTGATAGACACAAGGAGACAGGGAAGGAACGAAGGAGGTAGTGGAGGAAGAGAGATCCAGCTCTGTCTCTGTGTCATGCGGCCCTGTGGGACGCAAACCCCAAACACATCTGTCAGTCTCAAAAATCACAAACTACGACTGGGGAAAACACAAAAACACTCACACAGCTGCTGCCAATGTCCCCTGACAGAGCTGAACAGCTGCTGAGCAACACACACACACACACACACGCACACACACGCACACACACATGCAGACACACACACAGACACGAGAACAATTCGTCCTATCAACAATTGTCTGGGTGACACAACAACTCAGATCAGTCAAAACAACTACCAAGATCACACATGTCTACCATCTGGGTTCCTTTCTCACCACACACCTAAGACTCTGGAGTTACCATAGCAACCAGAACTCACAACATATCAGTCAGCTGATAGGACTTGCACGTCAATGGGGCACATATACTTAAATCAAGTTAGGAAGACTATATTCTCAATTAATCCATCAGTTCTTTTGTTCAAAAATTATTCAAAAATAATGAAAAATGCCCAGGTGAGGTCTTCAAACGTCTAGTTTTGTCCAAAACGCAAAGTTATTGAGTTTAAAATGATATAAGACAAAGAAAAACAGTAAATCTGCACATTTGAGAAGCTGTAACCAGGAAGTGTTTGGCATTTTGACTCTGAAAAACAACTGAAATTAATTCTTGATTATCAAAATAGTTGAGCTCTACTCAATACAATGTAGTTCAGTTCAATACTACTGCACCACAGCAAACTACAGCCTCAATAATAAACATATAGTTAGGACATATAGTTGGACTGCATTAGATTTTACAGGTCTACCGAATAAAGTAGCCACTGAGTGTACAGACATGGCAACAGGCATCTGTGGAAGGAAACTTCAAGAAACTGAATTTCTGCTGCTGATGTGGAGAAACAGCAGAAAGCTCTGTGTGACTCTGTTTGTGAATATATTATTAGGGGCTCGTTTTCAACATGCACATATTATTCCTTTTTTAGCTACAAGATGATTATTTCCTGTCATTGCTTCATGGTGGGAATACTTTTTTTTATTTATGTGATACTGTCATCTGATTTCTTCTATAAAGACTTTCTATTCATCGGGTCACCTCAGGGCTGCACTGTCTGAATATGAAGAGGCTACACTGAAAATTCATAAAGCAATTTCTGCTCATTTTATTTTTATTTTTTTAACAGTAAGTTGTACTAATCACTGCTTCTGGTGACTAACCACTATTTCTTAGAAGCCATTTTTTATGACCAGCATTGAGCATTAGTTTTCATAAAGTCCCAACTATGAGTGTGCGAATGTCTTCTTTCGGACTATGTTGGGATCCTGTAGGAATAACCATATTTGTGGGACCAAAAAGCCAGACTTAAGCCCAAAAGTAGCCAGCTAACTTACAAATCCTTCTTCATGGGACTGGTCCAGGGTTAAATAATCTACACTGACCCATTCATACCAAAGGCTATATGCAAGACTTTCCGAGGTCCTTGCTTTAGACAGAATGGATGGAGCAGAAGCAGAAGCACTGCAGATGTTGGTTGGTTGCCTGGAAAAGGCCAAATTATCAAATTATAGACTAACGGCTAAATTATACTTCAGCGAGCCGACAGAAGTTTGCCCCATCATTTTTTATTTATAGTTTGGCGACAGTATACGCTGGTTTCGTAGCGACAGACACTGAGTCCGGCTGAGGTTTGTTTACATTCCGCAAAAGAGAACGCAGCAACAGAGGACAAAAAGTTGGCGAGTTTGGAGGAGGCCATTTTTAATCTCCACGTTAAGATGACAAAGGGATAAGAATGGTCGAGGTACGTCCCCTGAATAGAACAAAATTTACCTCTGATGCTGTATCGGCACCAATACTACTACCTTCTTTAAATACTTTACACTGTCATTATAACACTGAAACAATGCCTCTGTATAAATCTTCCAAGTGAAGCATAACTAAAATTTTGACAGGCCTAAAAAGAGTGTGTCAGTTCCACACTGTGAGGTGGAGAATGGAAAAAGAAAAGTGAAAACAAGTAAATGTGTTAGAGCTGCAACCAACAATTATTTTTCTTATTGATTAATCAATTACCCAAAGATATGTTTAAATCATATAAAACAGAGAAATGCAGAAAATCCTAACATGTTAAGCTGGGACTACTTTTGATTGAAAAATGACATAAACAATTAATAAATTATGCAAATAATATCTGATTATTTTTCTGATGATCGACTTATTGATTAATCGACTAACATTTGCTACTAACTTTGCCGTCTAACTTGCATGGGTGAATACTGAGATACTGACACATCTGTGAAAGGTTGATGTTGGCTGATAACATCAGCCTGCCGATTTATTGGTCAGGCACAGGTAATGAATTCAGCATCAGGAGACAAGAAGTGAAATCGCGCCGTGACCAGCACCAACCCCGCCATCTCTTGACAGCTCTGGCACATGGTTATGATGGCGTCAGTAACTTTCCACAAAAGAAAAAAATGCAGGTACACTAAAAGCACTGCCGACATCTGATGTCAAAACTGTCAAATTGGAATCATTTATGTCTGAAAACATGTCACACAATGGTTTTGATTTTTAGTAGTAGTAGAAACCAGGCTTTCGCACACAAACAGCAGAGTTGTTGTCACTGACATGGGATAACCACCTCCAGTTAAATCCTCGTTTGACACACTCACAACAGACCCCAAACATTGGAAATACTTTTTTTCCTTGCCTCAGTTTGTGCCTTTAATGTATTGTTATTATATATGTGTTACAGAGTTATAGAGTTGCACATCCGTGTATCTAACACTGTTCTGAAGGTAAATTCAAAAACCTCAAAAAGGCAAAAATAAAAAGGATTACTTTTTAAGTTGCAATTATATCTTCCAAGCAAGTAGCAAAATCTCCGTCTCTCTCCTTGCTCATAAAACTAAATTAAATGTAAATCTTATCACTGTGTATGTTAACAAAATATAAAACATGATAAAAAGTAATACTGATAGAGCCAAATACACAAGATAATAAATATTTTTTAATTTTGATCCATGTCGAACAAATTTAGTAGGGACATATGCTGTTTCATTGCATTTTGAGGAATGTAAAAACTGATGTTATCACAATACACAAGAGGCCAACTCTAGGGCTTAATTATCATGTAATAATTCTGCAGCTACCATACTGATTACTGTCATGAAGCAAACTATATTCTATTGAAATTTCTCGTGATTACACTCCCAAACTTTTGAGTATGGAGAGCTGGACACATGCCCTTGACATAAACTGATGATGAGAGAAACCAGGCACACACGGGGAAGTGAACTTTTTTCTTTCTCATAAAATGTTGAAAATACTGTCATACAGCTATCATCAAGCACAAGTGAACCCAGCTAACTGGTGTCAGCAGGATATTTAGCATTGCATACAGGCCAAAACACCATCACAACCTCAGTGAAGCCACCAGTCACCCCCACTGTGACAGATATCAATCTGTAAAACCACAGAGGTGCCTCACTAATAGATGGCAGTGGCTTTAACTAATATTATGGTCAATGTGAAGCAGCATGATAAGGCAGTCCTGCGTCAGTAGTTTGACAACAAATAAACACGAGTAGCAGCGTGGTTATCATCACACCCAGTGTAGCTGAAGCTACCTTGTTAAACCTGGTCAAACCAATCAAACGTCTACTGTCACCATGCCATGCAGTGACCACAAGCTAATTACTAATGATAACATGCCACAGTACATTACACCAGGCAATCAATCTGACCTTAATTATATTTACACCGAGCTAGCTTCAAGCTAATGAAACTTTTGGGGATCCACCGCTTAATATTGAAACAAAACCAAGCCCAGGTTCTGGCGTTAACCAGTTAGGCAGTGTTGCCGTGAACTGATAGCGGGGGTGATGTGACTAGCTGCCACATAACACGTTTATAGACTCTTAGGTACCATGTTAGTTAGCGTTAGCTGTCAGACTGGCCAGCTTCTTGACCTTAGCCTGACAACACGCTAGCTGGCTAAGTCTGCTACACTCATCTTAAATCAGCTTTGAATGAAAAAAAAACTTCATACTGCTTTGTGTCATTAAACACCCCCTTCCCCTCTCTTCTTTTACGGCAGCTCTCTGTCCCGGACACTGGTGGAAAACACCAGCGTTAGTTCGACTCTAACCGCCGTTAAAGTAGCCGTGCATGCTAACGCGAGCTAACTAGCTAACATCACGGTTTGACGTTACGCAGTGTCTCCAGTTACAGACACCGAGCTGTCACAGTAACCACATACCTTCAGGATCACCGGGTGGACAGTGAGCTGACTTCGCGGAGTTCACGGTGGATGTGCTTCAGAGACGGGAGAGGTTCATGGATGTCAGTCCCCGGTGTCCAAACTCATTAACGGCGGAAAAAAAACATCCCGGAGGCTAACGTCATTACAGTGAAGCTCACGCAGCCTGTTTGGCTTTTACGCTTCATTTACTGGAGTGCAAGCCTCTGGCGCCACCTACCGTCTAAAGCTGGGTCCACCTTCTTCACCCAGCTCGTCCCCCACCTGCAGGAGGACCTTATTAAACCGGGTTTCACGCTTCCATGTTGGACTCACTCACCAGTAAAGCCCGGTGCTATGTTTCCGTAACCCAGCCAGTTGTCCTCTGAGATGCAACGTGATGCAAAGCACTAGTGGAAAATAACTAGGAACTTTGGTGAGGACATGGTTTGTTTAATGGAACATGTTTTTGCTGCTATAATTTTCCTGAAACTGGATTTATATCATGACTTTTTTACTCTGATATCTCACAGATATTTTGCTTTAAAAAAAGAATATATATATTATATATATATATAATATATAATATAATATAATAATAATATATATAAATATATATTTTATATATACATACAAAACCGTATATTTGACATTGTCATGTAATCATGTAACAAGAAAATAAATGTATAAAAACCTGCCGATAGTACTTCTCTGTTTGACAGAGCCACAGTGATGCTCACACCTATCTTTAAATCATGTCAAAAATATTGTATTGTTTTTCATTCAGTTCCTCAACTTATTGCAAGATGTCAACATAACAACATAACATAACAACAACAATGATGCCTGACAATAGTGAACAAATCAGCTTTACATGTTACATATACAACGTTTTCATTGGCGTAAGACGTCGGCCAAAAAGCAGCTTCCAATCAAAGTACTCAAGTAAAGTACAAGTACCTCAAAATTGTACTCAGTTGTATGCAACATTTAGACACCCCTGGGAAAATTCAAGTTTTGGTTGATTTTTGTAAAGTGAAAAGAAGTAAATACGATCCATGTAGCAAACAGACATAAACATTTTTCTTTCTGCAAATATATCTGACATATTTTATAGGTCCAAATTATTGCATAGAACTGTAAGTACTACTACTACTACTCTGTTACATTCCACCACTGATTGGTTTTCTGTATTTATAACAGTTTTGACAACATTAAGAAAAATAAAGAATATTGTCAGTCTTATCCTTAAATTGTGCTCACGTTAATAAAGTGAATTTACATTTTTTTTTAAAAAACAAACAAACTGCGAGCCCTTATTTTGAAGTCTCTGTGAGCGGATGTAGTGAATTCAAGTGTGCGGTGTTGACACCGGTTGCGCGTTTGTTGCCACCGTGTACCGAGCTGACAGCGGCTGGTGTGACACCATGGATAACACACGCACACATAACACACACACACTACCGCTCTATAAAACCCCAGACACTCACACTCACACACACACACCGACACACAAACACACAGCGAGCTCTTTAGTGCGGAGGAGAAACTTTCTACCTGAACCATCATGGGCGTCATCATCTCACGAATCTTCTCCAGGTTCACCTCGAAGACACCTGTCCGGATTTTAATGGGTGAGATCTGATTTCAGCAGTAACGTTGTTAACAGCCTATCTGCGTTTTTTAAAGATATTAAAAAGTCTTAATTTTTATTTAATGAAGTGTTTCAGAAATTAAATGTAAAGTCTAAAACTGGTCATGAAAGATTTTTTGTCTGTGAGTTTAGCAAAAACGGTATGGAAACTGGTTAATCCATTCATTTGGCTTCATATAGAGGTCGTGTTTATTGATTAATTAATTAATTATATTACTAGGGATTATTTTTATTTACAGCTGGAAAAATACAATATAAATTTCCATAAAATCATGAACCTGGTGAATAATTCTAGGCCTTATACCTTCAGTGTGATCATGAAAGAGGTGTTAAATTACATTTCTATGTGGTATTAAAAATGTCTTAAATCTTAATCTAAGTTAGTGAATACTTTAGAAACCCTGGTTAACCAGTGGAAATTAATAACTTTATTATGGTAACATTTTATCATTAGTGTTGTTAAAAGTAGTAATAGTTGAAGCACTACTGTGATAACAGTATGAATAGTCTTTTCTTTGTTTATTTGTGTTTTATCTTTTGTTGTGTAAATAAAGTTATCTGTAGCAACATGACAGTAGTATTAATGGTACTAAAACAATTTATTGATTGATTATTTATTGATAGTCTATTACTCTTACTTTGACTTTTGATATTTTACCAAAGAAAAAAAGACACTTTAAGACGTCACCTCAGGTTCTGAGAAGCTGTGATGGGCTATAGATGGCTCTATATATCACCGTTGTCTGTTGTCTGTTGTGTGTGTGTGTGTGTGTGAGTGTGTGTGTGTGTGTGTTACTGCAGTGGGTCTGGATGGAGCAGGTAAAACCACACTGCTGTACAGACTGAAGCTGGCCGAGGTCGTCACCACCATCCCAACCATTGGTCAGTCTGTTTGATGTGTTTATATTAAAGCACATATGTAATATATAAATAACACAAATTCATAATTCATAAAATAAACTGTGTGTGTGTGTGTGTGTGTGTGTGTGTGTGTGTGTGTGTGTGTGTGTGCAGGTTTTAATGTGGAGACAGTGGAGTATAATAACATCAGTTTCACAGTTTGGGATGTTGGTGGCCAGACTGTCATCAGGCCTCTGTGGAGACATTACTACACTAACACACAGGTAACACTTCTACTCTGCTGTTACATAGTTAGGCGAGAAACAGGACATGTGTAGTGATGTGTGTCTGTCTCTGTCTTCTTCAGGGTTTGATCTTTGTGGTCGACAGCAACGACCCCGAGAGGATTAAAGAGGCTGGAGACGAGCTGCACAGGATGGTAACAGGCTTTTCTCTGAAGTGTTTCCACACTCCTTTATTCATCAACTAATACACACACACACACACACACACACACACACACACACACACACACACACACACACAACATCAGCTTTAGTCTTGCAGTACAAAAGATAGAAACTTATTGTGAGAGTCATTAAAATCATCCAGAGTCAGTTCAGCTTCATTTTCTCCTTCCAGACACCCCACCAAATTAAATTAAATCATATTAGAGGAGGACATTGCTGACTCGTTTCAACCTTATGCTCCAAACTTTCCTGTTTCCTCACCACGTTTATGTTTGTGCGTTGCAGTTGGAGGAGGACGAGCTGAGAGGCGTGGCCATTCTGGTTTTCGCTAACAAGCAGGATTTGCCCAGAGCCATGTCCGTCATTGATGTCACCACGGCCCTGGGCCTATCAGCGATCTCACAGCCGGTGAGTGACAGATCCACCTGTTTTCTTCTCATGTGTTGTCATCTTAAATACGCTGAAAGTAACTTGTGCAACTTGTTCTCTTCAACTGAAGTCGTAAACACACACAGTGACACAACGACAGCACAGTGATGATTGATCAGAACTTGTTATGTGCTGTAGAGCCTCGCCTACAGCGACCTCTGGTGGTAGAGAGACGCAGCAGCAGGGTTTAGAACAAACTAAACTACAGTTTAAGTTTAACTACAGAGTTTAAGAGACCATATGATTTTTTTTTATGGTTTTGAATGGTTTTGCCCCTCTGTGTGTCTGTGCAGTGGTATGTCCAGTCGTCCTGTGCCGTCAGTGGTACAGGTCTGGTCGAGGGTCTGGACTGGCTCTCCAACCGGATCCTGAAGCAGTAGGAGCTGAAGTGAAGCTCTGGATTGTTCCTTTTCCTGCTGAGTCTTCAAAGACAAAAGGCTTTCTCCTGTGAACTGAGCCGAGACTGTGAATCCAGGAGAGACACAACAAAGTGATCCCACATACATTAAATCCAGCTTTCCGCAAAGACATTTTACTGCTGCGTTCACAAGCACGTAGGAAAACCCTGTAGATCCCAGCTCTTCCAGAAAACACACTACAGATTGTACCATGTTCATGGCACATTAAAAGAATCATAAAGATGTGGTGAAATGTCAGAGCAACAATCTGAGACTAGGGAATTACATTTATTAACTTAAAATGAACCTGCAGCAGGTCATTTTGGCTTTCAGTTCTCAAAAACAGATCAATTTTATCACCTCAAACTGCTGTTGATCTGCAGTGAAAAGCCTAAAAAGTGGAAAACATCTGTGCCTCTAAAACCCTCACGTTAATGTACAATGTAAACAGAGCTTCAGGCTTTTGAGTTGTTGTCTCTGCCATCAGAAAGTGTCGAGAGGAGTCGATGATAAGGAGCTAAGGCGATAAGGAGCCACTGATGATGTCAAAACTGTTTATACTTCCAACAGGTCGAAGACAGATGTAATGTTTTAGACCCGTCCTTTCCAACCTTTTGAGCTTCTTATGCCTCAAAATAAAGTGGCGTCTACTCGTGTGAGGTCATGACCTTAATGTGGACATGAGAGAAGGATTTTTCCGTCTCTGTTTCATTCGAAAAAATAGAGAAAAATCAGATCTATCACATTATTTTGTGTCACAGAGGTTTCTGGTCATCCCATAAATATATTTCTTTGACTGGCGGGTGGGTCATTTTTATGGGAAACACATTTGAACTGCAGTGATTATTTTCATCTTTTCATCTCTTGAGGGATTGTAAGCATTAACATAAAATTAATCTCTTATCTGTCATTAATGATGTTAGGCTTGAAATAAACTTAATGACTTCTATTATAAGTCAATTATATGTTTCCTGTAACAGTTTCTTCGTCACATGAAGAAACACATGATTAAAACTGTCCTGCTGGTTTTGTTGGGTAAATTTACTGTATAATTGTTTTATGTTGCTATTTGAATAATCAGCTGAGATTCTTTTCTGTTGCTTCACATGTAAGGTAAGTCAATATTATTTATTGATCATGTTCATATTTTTCTTATATTAAAGTTATTAAGGTGGCCAGTTTGTGTGTTTGTTTGTTTTTAAATACAGACATAGACATACAGACGGTAGCTGCCTCAGGAAACATGGAAATGGATTGTGACATAGTTAAAGTAAGTTGGAAAAAATAGAAATTAGAATATAAATCATTATATTGAGTCAGGACTGTGAGGGGGACAGATTAAAGTTCATCTTCATTATGTGTGATCAGTGAAGGGTGGTGTAGAGTGTGAGCCGCTCTAAAAACCACAACATTACAACATCCTCCAAACATTAACACACATTCATAAGTAAACTCAACCCGCAGAGCCGCAACTGGAGTTCCCCATGACCAGTCGTTGACCTCTGACCCCCGCACACTGTTCATGTTGATGCCTGTAAGAGTGTCGGACACTTTATTTAACACTCTATAATTACGTCTTGGAAATGATGGTGTTATAGATCTTTCTATTGATTTAGATTACATTTTTCTATCATGTATTTTTTGGAGAAGGTAAAAAAACAAATTAGATTTTCAGAGACAGAAACTCCACAAAGTGTTTTCTAGTCTTCTTTCTTTAATGATACTCAATGGCATAAAGCTTGGAAAAGGTTTTATAAATAAAATATATATAAATAACGAGAAAGTGTCATGTAAGATACAACATAGAATTATATTGTAAAATTATCTTAAAAATCTGAAAATTTATCCTTTTCCATGTTTTGTTTTATTTTGAGCACGATATGATACTTGGAAGATATATTCACAAAGAAAATGGCAAAATTCAAAGTGTAAATTTTGTGTTTTGTATAAAAAAATGTACGTTACCACAGAAATGTTCATAGGAAAAAGAATAATTGAGAATTTATACATTTCTGTTAAATATTTATTTTTTTATATTTAAATTTGTCAGACTATTGTTAATAATTAACTTTCATACACAAATATAACAATAAACTGTGCAAACATGAAAATAAACACAAAAATCAACTTAGTTCTGTTCTTGATTTACACCTGTAAAACTCCCTGCAGCTCTTGTAGCTCAAGGAGGTTCGTTTGATCCGGAAACATCAGCAGACTGACTCAGGCGGGTGGAGTTAGTGCTTTATTTATCACTGAAAAGCCTTTTTTATTAATCATGACACTGGAACATCAATCACTGAAACGTATTTACAGTTCAACGTCGTCGATCCTGTCGTTAAAGTGCAGCTCCATCGACTCGAGTCCTTCACCTGGTTACAGCAAGAAAACATCCTCCCCAAAAAAAAAAAAAAAAAAAAAAACAACCAAAAAATAAATTTTTATTAGTAACAGTTGATTTAGAGACGTCTTCACCCCGTTAACTTCCCCACAGGCGACTGAAGAGGTTTTGTCTGTTGTGCATGCAATGTCTATGATCCTGAAACTGAAGCTTATTCACTTCATTTTCCTACAGATAATCAATCACTCTGGATAATAAACGCTGATTAATGAATCAAACCTGTGAGAAGCATAAAAGGCCCCTAGCATTGTTTCAGATTAACATGTGTTAAAGCACAGATCAACACTGTGATGTCAGGAGAGACACACAGGCTCAGCTGGTTATTTGGCAGAGCAGATGGAGGACTGCATGTCGGCATGGTTCTTACGTTTTTATAGATCTAGATGCCAAAAATGTGACATTTCTTCACAGTTTACTGAATGAATAAAATGTATCAGCTCACCAGAGAAAACCAAAAGTTGACACCAAAATCTTTACTTCTTTCCACTTTCTTTTTTTTTTTTCCCCAAACAGAGAAACTCTGAGCTTCCTTTTATCAAACTGTCGTCAGAAGCAGCAAAAGTGAGGAGACCGATTGATCAGGTTTGTGCTTTAGTTGACAGATCTCCAACTTTTCCCAATGTCAGACCAACGTTTCTCAATAGGCAAACGGACGAAGACAAGAGCGAAGCATCGTTGGCTCACCTTTGTGGCCTAAAATCTAACTGGTGAACGGTAAATATTTCTCATTAAGGAGCGTTACTTTCATGCAATTATTCATTTTGTAAGAGGCAGCAGTTGCAGAGAAACTCTTCAAATTACATCAATTCAAAATACGACTTTCTTTTGGCTCCAGTCATGACAACATGCTAATAACACACTGCGTACAAAGTGCATGAAAAGCAGAGGATGCTGGACTGACGACGGCTGATGATTCAGAAAAAGAACAAAGTTCATATTGGCACTGAAGCTGTTCAGTTGTTGGGCATAGAATATTTTCACTGTTGCTGAATCAGAGTTGACCTTTGACCTCGAGGGGAAACCAAATGTTTCATTCACAGCGACTATGATGACAGGTAAGTCACATCTCAAACTCAAAAAACCTGACATGTTGTTAACACAGTGAGTCCAGCTGTGAGTGATCTTTCTGTTCCAGTCTTCAATGCTACGTATGTTTCTGTGTTTCCACATCACACACAGTCACTAAGTCTAACGCCTGCTGACATCTGGGCTACATTTGGTTGAAAAGTTAGTTTTGTTTTAGACAACTAAGTTACAATTCAGTGGTAACTTGTAACTGTAAGATATTCAGTGGGATTAAAAAGTCTGAGACCACCTTCTCAGACCGTCTGACCCCACTGTTGGCTCGTTGCAGCTCCTACTTGTTATTTTAAATGTCTTATGCATCATTTTCCTACATTACAGCGTGAAGTATTTGGTATTTTTGAAAGCTTTGGGATCTCCACTAGAATTTAAAATTGAGTGTAGTAGTATGTAAAACTACAGTTACACTGAATGTAATGTGAAGATGCCCTTAACAGAAAAACATCAGAATATGACCAATGTTTACCTCACGTGCATTTCAATTATGACTCAAGTCTCTCAGGAGCAAAAGCTGAAGTGGTTTTATTTTTACCCACGACGACGATTCCTGACCTTAATTAAGTTCTTGTGCCTAAATTTAACGAACCTTTAACCAGAGGTGGCAGGTCATTTTGTACCAGTGATTTTTAACTGTTTATCAAGGCACTGAAAAAGGAATATCTGAGTCTATCTGGATGACAACGACGAACAATACGTTTTGGCATTTAGTTTGAAGCAGCAACCAAATGTCACATCCAACCCAGCGAAGCGTAATTTGAATTTAGACGTCTCGAGAGTCTTTTGACCAAATCTACGTTGACTCGATGACGGTTTAGATTTCTGGATCCGTTCCTCTTCACCGTCCACGCTGCCGCTGCTTTCAGTTCGTCTTGAGTAAACTCTGAAAATCAGCTCACAGAGACCAAGACTTGCTTGAGTTGTGTAACCCACAAGAAATGTTTGTCTGCACCTTTCACCACTCGTTTATTGAAATATCGATCACATGACTGATCAATGTACTCTATTTAAAGAAACTGGAATAAAGCTCGGTGTAGTGGAGAAGAGTCCTGCGACCTGTTTTAATTTTGATGCACTGGCTCTGTCTTGTTGACCTGAATAAAGTGGTCATAATGTCGCTATTATTGTTATTATTATTATCATTATTAATAAATCTGCGGATTATGTTTTAGATTAATTGTTTGTCAATTAAAACATCTGAAAACTACAAACCAAAAAAATACCGACTCAAGACTGGGCGTTATTCTTCATCCTGTGGTGAAATGAACGAAAACTAGTGACCGTCTGGAAGGAAGATGAGGTCATTCAAAAAAAAAGAAAGAAAAAAGGTCAGCCGATGAACACATCACAACAGGAAGTACTCTTCAAAATAAGACTCCCTGCTCGCTCTGTCTCCTTCTTCTTCTTCTTCTCTTGTTTTAGAGCATCGTCTGTCTCGTGTTTTACCAACAACACTGACAGAGGAAACAGCTGAGGTTTCTCTGTTGCCCTTTGGGATCTCCTCAGTGCCAGAGTGCTCCTGAGCAAGAGACACTGACACCGTCCAAATCTGCATTCTGTGTTCCCTCAGGCGTCTCCTTCAGATCCTGGTTCATTATTCCTCTTGTGTTCTGCTTTATATCCTCTGTCGTTATTCTTAGCTCTTTTTTTTTTTTTTCTTTATAAAATAAACATATAAAACAGAAACTTACAGGTTAATCTATATTTTTTGTCCTTTTCTGGAAAGCGGAGCCGGTATAAAAAGCAGCGTTTTTACACACAGAATAAAACACGAGTCCGTGGCGAGATGTTTCCTCGCCACTCCCCCTCCTCCTCCTCCTCTTGTAGTGTGGTTGCATTTAGTTTATCCTCCGTTTTCAGAGTGACAGGCTCCACCATAAAACTTCAAACAGAGTCCAGCAGAGAGGGAGCGCATGTTTTTCAGTCCCAGGCAGCCCGGGTGGGCAGGTGGTGTTCCCCTCCTCTGATTCCTGAGCTGCTGCTTCAACAGTACCAGCTAGGACCAGCCTGGGAGGTAAAACATGCATCCTGTGCGTGTCATTAGGCTTCAGACTCGCCCCTCTTCTTCCCTTCCTCCCCAGCGTCGCTGTCCTCTGATTGGCTGTTGCTTAGCACTAGGAACTGTCCGTCAGGGGCAGGCGGGTTGGCAGGGCGACTAGAGGCGGCGATCAAACGGCTCTGCTCCTCCAGATCCTGAAAAGACAAGACTGAGTCATGCTCCAAAATAAGGGAGGTTATGTTACCGAGCCGTGTACTGCAATCATTCTCAGTGACCTGGAGCTCAGTCATTCAGCAGTCTCTCGTCGTGTTAGCATTCAGTAAAGACTTTACTGCTTGTCGCGGTCCAGGCTTCTGGCAGGTTACTACAGGTTAGCACCCTGTCCAACCGTGCACAGGTATTTTTTTTAAAGCTTTTTCTGTGTTTTAGCTTCTTTTAAGGTTTAAGTCACTTTTCAGAGTTAAAGGTTAAAGGTCACCTTCTCTATCTGTCTCTGTTTGCTGAGTTCCTCCTGCTGCTTCTCTTTGGCCTTGTCCTGCTCCTTCCTCTTCTCCACCGCCTTACGGTCCTGCACAAGAAAAACATCAACAACACAACAACATAATTAACATCCACAACATCTGGAGGAACCATTACCATCCCCAAACTGTGGGGGAGTTCGCTTTAGCTTTAGCTTCAGCATAATGGAGTTTTAAATGAGTCTCACCATCTCAGAGTGGAAGGCTATCTGCTTCGCCAGACCGATACTGTCACAGATCTGCAACACATGAAGGAGACAGACAGGTCGGTCAGACAGACAGACAGACAGACAGACAGACAGGGAGAAAGACAGACAGACAGACAGACAGACAGACAGACAGACAGACAGACAGACAGACAGACAGACAGGACCTTCTCTCCGTCGTTGTTGGACTCGAAAATGTAGCAGACGGCTCGGCTGTCACCCCGCCCACTTGCTGACTGCAAAACGAAGCCAAACAGCCTCTTGTTGTCCTGATGGGACGAACACTGAACCACACTGGACAGAGGGAACTGCAGCAGGAGGAAGGGAGAGGAGGAAGGAGGAAGGACAGAGAAGGCTTAAATTTAGGAAGAGGGGGGCTGGAACCAATTATAAATCCTTAAAAACATGTCTGAAACCAAAACAAGGATCTAGTCTGGTGAGACAGATCATCTTACCCTGAGTCGTGTGACCTGTGTCTGAGGATCAATAAGCCTGAAAAGAAAGGTTCACACGTTAAACTCAAAGACTGTTATGAACTTTTTTATGTGTAAGCAAAAATTTAATTTTCTAATCTGCAGCTCGTCATTAAATGCACTGAGCAAAATCCTCCCAACAGGATGAACCATTTGATATTTATGGCTCCGTGACCTTTCCTGGAGCGCCATCCTCAGGACAAACATTTAGCTCCACCCTGCTCAGGTTCTAAGAAGAACTTAACGTTCCTTTTCTTGTTATGTTCACGTTCAGTGCATGTGCGTCATTGTGCGTGAAACAAACAAAATGGGGACCTACTCAAAATAAAAAACTGCTCCACAGAGCGACAAGAGGTCAAAAACCGCCGTCTCTAGGGGGCGCTACTGCGACTGAGACACTCAGTCATACACCACAGTTTCTCACACACACACACATACTTGAGGCAGTCGCAGGTGACCAGCAGGTGTGACTCGGTCATCCTGAAGATGTTGTGGATGGCTCTGGCGGCCAGGATCTGTCTCATGGTCTCAGAGATGACATCTGCTGACTCGGCACTCCTCACCTCCATGGAGCCCAGGAAGCGAACGATGAAGAGCTGGTGGAGGATCGAGTCTGGACAACACGGACACAGAAAAAAAACACAGGGATATTTCAATTTGATTAAAATTGGTCTGAATTTTATTGTTGTAATCATTATTATTGATGTTGGTAAATTATAGTAAACTACAAGAGTCAAGATTATTATAACCGTAAGGAAATTATACAGAAACATCTTTATAATATATAATACAAATAAAATAGTTTTTTTCTAATTCTTTGCCACACATTACAATATAAAATATAAGATAATAGGAAAATATTAGTCAACAAACAATAAAGAGCTGGTGATGATGCAGTCTGAAGAACAGGAAGGATTATACTGTAGTACACTCAAGGCAAAGCAACAAGGGGCAGCAATGAAATCACTATGGTGTGGTGCACCAGAATGAGGAGAGGACGATGCTGCACTCAAACACATTTTCATTGAACAAAACAGTGACAAATTGGAGGTAGATGCATCAACAGACACCATGCAGATGTAGTTTTCATTTTAATAATGAAATGTTGAGACAGACGGTACCTTCACTGTCTTCTGTAGTGGTGTCTCCCGTCTCTCCAAATGGATTACTCCTTCTGTATGACACACACACACACACACACACACACACACACACACACACACACACACACACACACACACACAGTGGTTAGGCGTTGGGGTACATGCTTCAGTTGCTCTAAAGATCTATTTTTGTATTGATCCCCTTTTGTGAAGTGATTCTACCCTGTGGAACTATAACCCTTTAACGCCTCATTGAAGCATATACCTCTCACACACACACACACACACACACACACACACACACACACACACACACACACACACACACCTGCCGGACTGTGCTGCTGTCTTGCTCTGTCCTGAGTTTTCCTCGCTGACTGGGGAAATGATGTCAAACTGGATTGGTGTTTCCGGGGCAACCAGCGCGTCCAATGAGAGCACAGAAAGCGCAGGCGATGGCTCGGACCCCACGGAGCTAATACTGCTCGCTCGGCCCGCACGCCCTTTACTGAAATGAGGAGAAAGAAGAGAGAGAAATACTGAATAAATGGAGGTCTGACTCGTCAAGTTGAGAAATCTGATTGGCCACCAGGGGTCCATCTCCATTAAATCTGGCAGCTGATTGGTTATGACGTTGTCGATAACCCCTCGTTAGTGTCAGTACTACCTGCCAGGTCTCATGCTCTCGTGTCTCTGCTGGAAGGATGGTGATGGCGTCACAGCTTCGATAGCTGATTGGTTCACTCTGGCCGCCAGCTCCTGCCAATAGGAAGGAAGTACTGTCAGTGTCAACCAATGGGAAAACAATATGAAAGCACAAATCCAAAATGTTTTCCTGCTTTTTCTCCTCTTGTTGCCTGTGAGCTTTCTAATAAAAGCATACAATGCCAAAAACCACTTTTAAAAAGCTGTTATCCACCTTATACTCAGTAACAAAGACCTTTTGTCTTGCTGTTTACACTGTGACTGGAAATGTGTTATTCATGTTGCTACTTGTGACCACCTTGTGCCTTTTTGCAAATATCTGACCACTGGTCACAATATGATAGACAGTGCTACCGACTGCCACAGCTGGAACAAAGTAAGAGACTGTCTTTCATCGTACAGGTGCTAATACGATCAGTTCACCTGCACAGCGTCGTCACCAGCTTGTCATGTCATTATAATAGTTATGATGTGGGAGCATCAGGCTGTATGACCTCCACATTAATGTTTTAACAACTGGGGGAAACAGACTGATGTTCCAAATCACATCAAATCAGAGATATGGGTGTGTGACTCATGGATCTGAAACCACTATAAACTACACCTAAAAGTATCTGCCAAAGTTTCCTCTTTGATCTGTGACATGAAAGTTAATGAGGGAAGATGAAGGACAGGCACCTCTGCGTTCTCGCTCAGGTAGATCCTCTTGGAGATGTTGTTTATGGTGGAGATCCACTGGTGGATAAAGAAACAACAGGAAGATGGTGTGAGAAAACAACAGAACAGCTGACAGGCAAGGTCACATGACAAAAAAAAAGCAATTTACCTCCTCACAGTCCTTCCTGCTCTCCGCCTGCAGCGTCACCACTCTGACGGAACACAAAACGAGAGAAAGTGGCATTAACCCTGAAAGTGTCAGACTGCCGAGAACATCTGAGAAGAGTTAGTGTCTTCATGAGAGAAGAAAGTAAAGTAACGGGGGCTCTCTCACTTCTTGCCGTCGAAGGATGTGACCTGGAAGCAGAAGCGGCGGTCGTCACTGTCGACCGCCATGACGGAGCAGTTGTCGAGGTCTGTGACCAGCCCGCCGGCCACCTCGCCGCGGCCCTGCTGCATCAGGTTACCGCCCTGCGTGAAGAAGTACTGACGCTCCCAGGAGGTCGACACCAGACCCGTCTTACTGAGAGACAGACAGAGGGGCTACTTTTACAGACCAAACCTCACAATTAAAGTTTTATATGCATTAAAGGAGAATTATGTTTTGTTTTTGTTTTTTTACAACTGGAGTCTTTTTCATAGTTTTTGTTTGTTTTATCCCTTGTATAATAGCTGAGATCTGGGAACTTGATTAAAAAGAAACGTGACTTGTCAAGAAACATGATCAGTCAGATGATCAGACACGTTGGAGACAAACAAACAGTTTATCTAGACCAGGGGTCCCCAAACTACGGCCCGCGGGCCACATCCGGCCCGCCAAAGCAATTTGAGTGGCCCACTTAACGATCCCAGACAATCCCTCTAAACATCAACCAATTTTTATTAAATTGCATTTTCTTATCATAACATCATAACATATCCGTACTTAAAGGTTGGCATTCTAATTAAAATTGACCATAGTTATGAGCTATTTATAGTTAATAGTGGCTCATCTTCACCTCCTCACACAATGGTATATTCTGACGTGACTTTGATCGTGACCGAGCCAGCGTCAAGCTGCAAAGTTCTGAGGTGGGAATCTGTCATGAAGGTGGTTGTGTCCTGCATAAACTTCATCAGAGCAAACGGACTTAAACACAGGCAGTTCCAAGCCTTTCTCTCCGAGCTAGAATCAGCCCACGGAGACGTGCTTTACCACACTGAAGTCCGTCACGCTGAGTAACATATGTCAGCCCCCAGCCTTCTGAGCGCTCCGCTTTGAAGGGCCGCCATGGCGGATCTCATGCATAATTATGCTGCGGGGGAACAAGTAAAATTCTGTGTTTTAATAATTTCCAAAAAATTTTCTCTAGAAAGTCACACAAATTTGTGTCTAAGCGAGACTCGAGCTCGTCACGCTGGAGTAATCATATGTCAGCCAAGCTGCAGGGGTGCCCGCTGGGTTCGGAGGGGGGGGGTGCCATCGACGTCTCGGGCGCACTCTGTTTGCTGGTGCGAAATCTTGCACAAGCAGTCCACAATGGAGGTCCGCGGTACCTCAGGCTGATACGCTGGGTAATGCTGATGCCGCAGGGCGGCGTTACGTGGGGGGCAAGCGGGGCCGCCATTGGGTTCATCTCTCATATGCTGAGGTGCCACACCATTAAGACTAGTGTGAATGTCACAACGGAAAAGTTTTGTCCAAAGTCCACAAGTTTGGTGTCTACGGACTCGGCTCGTCAGCTGAGTTAACATATGTCAGCCCCAGCCTTCTGAGTCGCTCCTCCGAAAGGGCCGCCATGGGCGGTCTCTCATATGCTGCCGGGGGGAACACGGTTAAATCTGTGTTTTAAATAATTTCCAAAAAATTTTCTCGAAAGTCCACAAATTTGGTGTCTATCGGACGGCTCGTTCTACGCTGAGTTCGAAACTCCTCAGCAAGGTCAGAGCCGAAGACTGACTTCAGGCAGGGCCTGGTCTGTGAGGGGCGCCGTGGTGGCCGGGGGGAGCTAGCCGATTCTGGGAGCAATCTGTCCAGGGGGGGGGCGCCCGCAGCTGGGCGGCTAGCTCTGCTTCTGGCGCAATGCTTGCGGGGGGGGGGGCCCAGCGGGGCCATGGGTCATCTCTCATATTGCTGAGGGTGCCACACCATTAAGAACTAGTGTGAATGTCACAAGGAAAAGTTTGTCCAAAGTCCACAAGTTGGTGTCTACGGACTCGGCTCGTCACGCTGAGTAACATATGTCAGCCCCAGCCCTTCTGAGTCGCTCCCTTCCGAAGGGCGCCATGCGGTCCTCTCATATCTGCCTGACGGGGGACACGGTTAAATTCTGTGTTTAAAATAATTTCCCAAAAATTTTCTCGAAAGTCCACGAAATTGGTGTCTACGGACTCGGCTCGTCACGCTGAGTAACATATGTCAGCCCAGGCTTCTAAAGTCGCTCCCTTCGGAAGGGAGCCTCGTTAACGTTCCGAGGCCACGCTTGCTGCAACGAAAAATTTTGTCAAAAGTCCACAAAATTGGGTGTCTACGGACTCGCTCGTCACGCTGAAGTAACATATGTCAGCCCAAGCCTTCTGAGTCGCTCCCTTCCGGAAGGGGTCTCAATCTCTCATATGGCTGAGGTGCCACACCATTAAGAACTAGTGGTGAATGTCACAAACAGGAACAAAGTTTGTCCAAAGTCCACAAAGTTTGGTGTCTACGGACTAGGCTCGTCACGTTGAGTAACATATGTCAGCACCCAGCCTTCTGAGTCGCTCCTTCTCGAAGGGCGCCATGGGCGGTCTCTCATATGCCTGGCGGGGACACGGTTAAATTCTGTGTTTTAATAATTCCCTCAAAAAATTTTCTCGAAAGTCACAAAATTGGTGTCTACGGACTTCGGCTCGTCACGCTGAAGTAACATCTGTCAGCCCCAAGGCTGATCTAGGAGATGGCGCCTCGGGGGATGGGCGCTGGCTGTAAACGTCCGGAGCGCCGCCTTGGCGGGCGCACGCGCGCAGCAGCTCTGGCTGGCCAGCAAAGTCCAGCCAAATGGGGTCGGCCCGCGACTGGCTGTCGTCGCGGTTTAAACTCTAAGCTTGACGGCCCAGCCCTGTGCTCGGGGGGAGTGGGGGCGCGTGGGTGCGCCTGTTGCCAGGGAGCCGGCACGTGGATTTAGCGCGCAGGCCTCGGGGGCGGTGGGGGGCGGGGGGGGGGGTCGGGGGGGGGGGGGGGGGCGGGGGGAATCGCCTTCGAGGTGCCCCATGGGTCATCTCTCATATGCTGAGGTGCCACACCATTAAGACTAGTGTGAATGTCACAACGGAAAAGTTTGTCCAAAGTCCACAAGTTTGGTGTCTACGGACTCGGCTCTTCACGCTGAGTAACATATGTCAGCCCCAGCCTTCTGAGTCGCTCCCTTCCGAAGGGCCGCCATGGGCGGTCCTCTCATATGCTGCCGGGGGACACGGTTAAATTCTGTGTTTTAATAATTTCCAAAAATTTTCTCGAAAGTCCACAAATTTGGTGTCTACGGACTCGCTCGTCACGCTGAGTAACATATGTCAGCCCCAGGCTTCTAAGTCGCTCCCTTCGAGAAGGGATGCCTGTTAAACGTCTCCGAGGCCCGCTTGCTGCACACGAAAAAATTTTTGTCAAAAGTCCACAATTTGGGTGTCTACGGACTCGCTCGTCACGCTGAAGTAACATATGTCAGCCCCAGCCTTCTGAGTCGCTCCCTTCCAGAAGCGATGGGTCATCTCTCATATGCTGAGGTGCCACACCATTAAGACTAGTGTGAATGTCACAACGGAAAAGTTTGTCCAAAGTCCACAAGTTGGGTGTCTACGGACTCGGCTCGTCAGCTGAGTAACATATGTCAGCCCCAGCCTTCTGAGTCGCTCCCTTCGAAGGGCCGCCATGGGCGGTCTCTCATATGCTGCCGGGGGACACGGTTAAATTCTGTGTTTTAATAATTCCAAAAATTTTCTCGAAAGTCACAAAATTGGTGTCTACGGACTCGGCTCGTCACGCTGAGTAACATATGTCAGCCCCAGCCTTCTAGAGTCGCTCCCTTCGAAGGGCCCCATGGCGGTCTCTCTATATGCTGCGGGGACACGGTAATTCTGTGTTTTAATAATTTCACAAAAAATTTTTGTCAAAGTCCACAAATTTGTGTCTACGGACTCGGCTCGTCACGCTGAGTAACATATGTCAGCCCCAGGCTTCTAAGTCGCTCCCTTCGAAGGGATGCTCGTTAACTCTCTGAGGCCGCTTTGCTGGCGACGAAAAATTTTGTCAAAGTCCACAAGTTGGGTGTCTACGGACTCGGCTCGTCACGCTGAGTAACATATGTCAGCCCCAGCCTTCTGAGTCGCTCCCTTCCGAAGGGTCCGCATGGTCATCTCTCATATGCTGGCGGTGCCCACATCATTAGAGACTAGTGTGAATGTACAACGGAAAAGTTTGTCCAAAGTCCACAAGTTTGGTGTCTACGGACTCGGCTCGTCACGCTGAGTAACATATGTCAGCCCCAGCCTTCTGAGTCGCTCCCTTCCGAAGGGCCGCCATGGGCGGTCTCTCATATGCTGCCGGGGGACACGGTTAAATCTGTGTTTTAATAATTTCCAAAAAATTTTCTCGAAAGTCCACAAATTTGGTGTCTACGGACTCGGCTCGTCACGCTGAGTAACATATGTCAGCCCCAGCCTTCTAAGTCGCTCCCTTCGGAAGGGATGCTCGTTAAACGTCTCCGAGGCCCGCTTGCTGCGACGAAAAATTTTGTCAAAAGTCCACAAATTGGGTGTCTACGGACTCGGCTCGTCACGCTGAGTAACATATGTCAGCCCCAGCCTTCTGAGTCGCTCCCTTCGAAGGGCGCATGGTCATCTCTCATATGCTGAGGTGCCACACCATTAAGACTAGTGTGAATGTCACAACGGAAAAAGTTTGTCCAAAGTCCACAAGTTTGGTGTCTACGGACTCGGCTCGTCACGCTGAGTAACATATGTCAGCCCCAGCCTTCTGAGTCGCTCCCTTCGAAGGGCCGCCATGGGCGGTCTCTCATATGCTGCCGGGGGACACGGTTAAATTCTGTGTTTTAATAATTTCCAAAAATTTTCTCGAAAGTCCACAAATTGGTGTCTACGGACTCGGCTCGTCACGCTGAATAACATATGTCAGCCCAGCTTAAGTCGCTCTTGGGTGCGGTGCCCGCCCGAGGCCGCCGGCCCTACTTGTGTTTTTTGTCAAATCAGCAAATGTGCAGGCGGCCCCGGCTGCGCTAGCTCTAGTGTGCTGAGCCAATGCTGTGCCCGGCTCCGAGCGCCGCCACGGGTCATCTCTCATATGCTGAGGTGCCACACCATTAAGACTAGTGTGAATGTCACAACGGAAAAGTTTGTCCAAAGTCCACAAGTTTGGTGTCTACGGGACTCGGCTCGTCACGCTGAGTAACATATGTCACCCCAGCCTTCTGAGTCGCTCCCTTCGAAGGGCCGCCATGGGCGGTCTCTCATATGCTGCCGGGGACACGGTTAAATTCTGTGTTTTAATATTTC